CCAGCACAAGTTGGCGCCACGACTGGAAGTCGCTGACGGCAGATTGGTAAGTGCCTAAAATGTGAAATGTGTAAATGATAGATTTGATAAAGTGTCAAATCGACTCAACGAAAAGTATACACGAACCAAACCATCATTCGGCCAACTTGGTCGAAGCATCAAAGAGACGAGTTTTGCTTTAGGGCTAAAATTGTAACGCCTGGTAAGACAGATAGAATCACTCTAAAAATATGAAAAAATTTCATAAGCGAAGCCGAAACACCATTTTTCTATAGCAAATGGGGATCACACCATTTTGGTATTTATATCTTAGAATGAAAAGTATACGCACAATAAGTAGTATTTCGAGATTGTCAGTAGACTTGAAATAGAGTTTTCAGCCAACTCAGATCGCGTAATTTGATATGGGGCTGATGCATGAATTTTCCTACAACAATATCTTGTTTTCAACTTGATTGGACTGAATTGCTGTTTCGACCTTATCTTATCTGGCCCCATCAGCAACCACAGCGGAAATCGAACCCGGGATGTGGTAAAATAAGGTGAAAGTTCGTCATGCTATAACTACAAAAAAGTATCACCAATGTCAGTTAATGAGTAAGAGTAAATTTCAATCACATTTCAAAATGGGATTATTTACAAGGAAAACTAGTATTCTGCTACTAAAATCGGCTATATTACTTATATGTATTGTAAGAAGTAGTTGGATAAGAGTTGTAAGTTGATGAAGGAATGGTATTTGAAGGACACTTAGAAGCTTTATATGGCAAAAACAATTCTGAATAAGGCCAGAATAGTGGTCGAATAGCTCACCATCTGAACCAATTGTATTTTGCGTAGCTATCGCCGCTCTGAGGGTTAAGATTTCATGCCTCAGGCAGGCCATTTGTCGGCTTTCATTAGCCATTGATGGAGTGACAGCCGAAGAAACCTCACTGGAATCGTCCGAAATGTTGAGGTTAGAAACAGGTATATTCCGGATATTACGTGCTCGATTGGCATACTTGACAGCGCTAAGTGATTCATCCAAGTTAGATCCAGCTGGGCTAATGCAGCATATCATCAAAGTCCGTGCATTACCCCCCAGAGAGTCCTTTAATGGAAAAAAAACAAAAAAACAAAATGAGCATAGAAATATGCAGAAAAATACTGCAACTGTATGCCCAAACTAGGCTAATGCACTCAAGGATACCAACTAAAGAACCAGGACAAAACGAGGAGTGACAGCATAACCGTTTCGATAGAAAGTTGGTCAAGGGATTGGTTTCCCTCGTCTGTTTTGACGAGTTGTAGTTTAGTTGCTGAGACTGGCCAGACTCAATGATGATGCCGGCGAAACTTCTGGGAATGTACCATGTATTTTCGTAGTTGAGTAGAGTTTTGACACTACCAGTAAATCAGTAGTATGAGATGTATTCACCCTATTTCGTTTAAGGTGATGAAGGACTGGTGATAGAATTTTCCCACAATGATGTAAGTAGAGCTGACGTTTTCATTCAATTTCACATTAACTTGCTTTCCCAAAAGTTATTCTCATCCAGATGGGATTGTCGATGAAGCAAGCGTATTTTCGCTATAAAAATCGACTATATTATTTTATTTTTCGCATTTAATTATTGTTTCGAGACTACCAGTAAATCAGTAGTGTGAGATGTATTCACCGAATTTAGTTTAAGGTGATGAAGGACTGTTAGTAGAATTTTCCCACATTGATTTGAGTAGAGCTGAAGTTTCCATTCACTTTCACATGGTCCTACTTTTCCAAATATTGTTTCCATCTCGACTTGTGTGGACTGCAGTCTCGACCTCGCATCGGTCTTATTAACAGTCCCAGCGGGAGTCGAACCGTGACGAAAATAAGTAGCCTAGTCGATTGTTATAGCAAATATACGTTTTCTTCATCGAAAATCCCACCAAATAATATGATATGACAAAGATTCTGGCCTTCCTTGAAATTTACCAAGTGGTTAACGTGTTAAGCTCCCATTCTGTACTGTCACAGTTCGAATCCCGCTGGGAGTGTTGATAACACCGATGCGAGGTCGAAACTGCAGTCCACACTAGCCGGGATAAGAAAAACTTTTAGGAAAGCAAGGCTATGTGAAATTAAATGAAAACGTCATCTCTACTCGCATTTTTGTAGGGAAATTCTTCTACCAGTTCTTCATCCCCTTAAACGAAATGTGGTGAATACCTCCCATGTACCAAGTACAAGGTACGAATCTGGAAATGATCATGCATACAATGGACTCCGGACAAGATGCGTTCGTCAAGAGCTTCTTGCCAATATGATGAAGTTGCGAAAACAGGATCAACACCATCCTGATCTTCATATCTTCGATTAAGGAACTCTCGTTGTCGCCTCATCTGGAATCGTCTCATACCGACTTCACTGGAATAGGCATAACTCTGTCCGATTGGCGTGGTCTTGTTTGTTCTTGTGCACCTTGAACGAGTGAAATGAGGCCCATGAACAAAAACAAATCATTTCAGCTGCTCCTTCAAAACGTTATGCGATCGTGGAGCTGGTAGAAGGCTTTGATTCTCTGCTGATCGGTTCTCTTTCAAAAATGAAATAGCATCGCGAGATTAGCCTTAAACACATGAAATAACGATGAGGATAGTCATTGTAATCATTCCTCGTGGAGATTTTATTACGAAAACACATAAAAGAATGGCTCTAAACCATGAAATTTTTGTGATCGCAATGTTTATGGTTGCAAATATCGTTTTGAAAATTCATAACAGGAGGTCCCTTTAATACAAGATTTGGGTTCAACTTGACCCTTTTAAGCAATGTTTTCAATATCGCATTATAATAAATTGCGAAGGCACCATTACTCTTTCTGCTGCCACAACATACAAAAAAGATCAAACTATGAAAAATGTTATCCTCCATAATTTTGCTTATTTACAACTCGTCAAGGCAAGATGGAGACATTCAAAGTATAACAAAAATGAAGACTTATGAGATTAAGAATAGGTAATATTTGCAACAAAATAAACGAAAAAATAGTTTTCAAAAACGATTTCTCTCCTCTGGCCAGCGTGAAATTGTGATGCAGCATAGTTTACAACGTCCCCAAACGTCACACTGACAAAATTCCTATTCAGACCTCATGAGAAGAGAGAAACAGCTGCGATACAGCATAAACTCATGTTTATGATGTGATTACGCTAATCTGGTACCCGGTGGGCCAAATTGTGGCTTGAATATTGACAAGATCAGAGGACATTTGGTAGACTTTAGTGAGCCAAAGCTAGGCGAAAGAGGTTTTGTATTGCCTCCTTTTAGTCTGCCTATTCTAAAGACCATGCTAATCATACTTAAATGTTGCTAACTGTAGATTTCATGAAGTACAGCAACAGTGTTACTTGCTGACAAACATTAGTTTACTTAATGTATCAACTCTATGCCGACTTCGGCTTAGCAACCAGTCCACCTATCCTATCACATGTAGTTATGCGATTCCACAAACAATGATATTAAATCCTCTTGTCTGGCAATGCACTAGACCACATCAATGAGGGCATCTTGGCTCCATATCGGGCCATGACATAACCATGCTCCTTAAACTTATCGCCAAGACATATTTCTTCGCATCCAAGTCAACTAAATTTACAAAATTTGTGTTTGAGTCACATAGCTACCTGATTTGCTATACTCTTCTAATACCACAAAACTAAAGTACAGGCGGGTCGTAATTACTTTGAGTTGGAATAGTGCAAAATTCGAATTAGTACGATTTATTAATATGTAATGCGAGGGAAAATCCAGTTATTGGTGCCAAAGGTTACAGACCAGCGGAGAAAATGCATCAGTTATCGTGCTTATGCTTGCCGCGACATCCAGTTTTATATGTACAGTAACGTATATTAAAAATTATATAACATCTTCTTAGTAAATATATATGGCTTGCTAAAGTTAATAATGGAGGTGAAAAAAAGAAGGGATTCACGATTAAACTATGACGAAAGTGCGATGCTATAGGAAGACAAAATTCTAGGATAGCAAGAGTTATTGAAATGCATGAATCAAATCTACAAAATATATTTTAGAATACGCAGGTAAAATAAGGGAAAAAGGTAAGCAGCCGTATCTTGAAGTAGTCTGAAATTCACCTACAAGAATAAATGCATTACAATGACAGATTCTATGACAACGTAAAAGTAATATTTTTATCAAAAAACATCTTTATTGTAGCCTGTGTACCAAGGAA